CTTATCAAAATGAAGAGTTGTTTAACTTCAGAAACTAAGAGTCTCAAAGAAGCCTCCCTGTTTTTCTGCTCTCTGCAGGAATCTGTGTGGAATTTCTGTGCTCCTTGCGCTCGGAGGCAACCATGGAAAGCATTACTGCTTGTTTACATGCATTGCAGGCCCTTCTAGATGTTCCTTGGCCCAGATCTAAAATTGGCAGTGATCAGGTGATTTAATTGTTTTTTATTTGGCTTTTGTAGATTTTCAAGAACATACATGCTCAGTTTACTAGAGCAAATAGAGAGTGAACATGGAGAAGTAAAGAGAAAACTAGTTAGCTGCACAGCCAGGCCTCAGAACTCGAATGCTGTCAGCAACCGTGCTGACCTGGAGCAGTCTGGCCTCTGCCACTGTGTCTCTGCTTCTGCTGCACCTTCTGCTGCCACCAGCCAGCCACTCTGTGAAGCAGCTCTTCACACTGTATGGTGATAGGAAGGTTCTATGTTGCACTGTCCAGTATAGTAGCCACAAGTCACAGGTGATCTTCTTTCTTTGTCTCTCTGTGCTTCAGTGCACCCTGTTCCTCATATTCATCTGTAATTTTATATTCCATTTCCTTAAGAGAGAATCTGCTTGGTTCACACAGTTACTGTCTATTACAAAGTATTGTTGTTGGCTGAGCTCTCCTTCCAGGTCTTTTAAGAGAGTGCTGGTTAGCCTATAGGTGGAGTCACTGATGGCTCAGTTGTAACCATGGTAAAAGGATCACTGTACAAAGTATGGCACTTCCTTTAACTGCTTTCCCAGAAGCAACTATGCATAGGGTAGGCACCCTCAACATCAGTATATATGATACTGTATACTATATACTGTACCATCAGTATAGTATCAGTATATAAAATTTTTATCATTGACTCTTGCATGTTAAGAAACATGGATGGTATGATTTCCTCTCTATATATGGACTATTGTTCACCTTATTAATACTGTTGTTTATTCCGTTTAAAGTATTAATCGGGTTCCTACCTGACTTGGTTAGTATTTATATAGATTTTAAACTTTTTGTGCTTGTTCGTGTTGTATGTTAAAACAATTATTATAATGATAGATTTACTCTGTTATATCTAAAGATGAAAGAAAGTCACCAGAGTAACCAGTAGAAAAGAAATGGGGCAATGAAATATTATTTGTCCAGTGTATTTTATTCTTAGGGAGATATCCATTCTGTGCATATTAACTTGCCCACTTTTAATGCTGTACTTCTCCATTATTCTTTGTTATTACTTAAAAAAAAAACCTTAATATAAATCTGGGAATCTACATAGCAGTCCTTGTATTCTTTTACCCATATTTCTCATCTTGTTTTGAAAGTTTTCTTTTCTTTTTTCCCCAGTTTAGGACCTGTGTGAAAATGACCTTTTGTCACAGTGCCATCTCCCGCGAGATTGGGACAAAAACCAATCTGCATTTGGTTTAAAGTGGAGCAGGTTATATAACTTTGCACTGACACCTTTAGTTTTTTAGTGAGCAATTTGTTACATTCTCTTTTTCTGGATTTTGTCATAGAATTTAGCATTGTTTTTTGTTTTTTCTAGGAAAGTATTTCCAATACAATCTCCCCTAAATGTTTTCTATGATAGGACTTGGGTATCGAGTTGTTGAATGTACTACATCGAGTAATTTTGACCCGAGAATCACCTTCGGTTCAGTTGGCTTCACTTGAAGTGGTAAGACAGATTATCTGTGCAGCTCAAGAACATGTGAAGGAGAAAAGACGAAGTGCAGAAGGTGACTGTTAACCCACAATGCCCAATTATTCACATGGCATCACTATTTTTTAATGTATTGCTTATGTGTCTGTGTCATGCTATAATCTGTTATGCGTAGCACAAGTGAAACATGTCTAGAGTATGGCTATAAATTCTCCTGTTCACTTTTACATGTTAGCTTGAATATTGTCAGTAGCTAAACTATTATTCCTTGAGAAAGTGAGAATTTTAACAAAACCCTGGAAGCAAAAAAAATTTCTTATTCTGATTGAGTACTTAATCAGAGTAATGAGCTTTGAGTTTACTAATGTACATGGAAAGACCAAAGACCAATTAACAATTTTTTTAATGACTTAGGTATTGCAAAGTCATTAGATTGCTTATTTATAAGTCTAATTCGGTATGGGTCAGCTTATGATTCAAGGTTACAATTGACTACATGTAAAAGAAAACCCAATGTAACCATAAATGTAAAACATAGGGCTTACTCTCCCATCTACAAAAGTCCAGAGGTGGGCAGTCCTGGGCTGGTATGGCAGCTGCATAAAGACATCAGGGACCTGGATTCCCATCTTTCTGTGTTAAGGTTCCAAGCTCAATGCTGGAGCTCTGGCTGTCAGGACACGTTCTTAACAGCAAGGAACATTTTAAGGCCAAGAGGTTACAAAGGATTTTTTTTTATTCATTGCAGTAAGAACTCATAATAAAGACAACTACGTTACCTTCCTGACCACTTTCTCCATCAATCTTTAACACCTAACACTTAAGCCATTTAAATGCGTTGCCTATAACAGACATGAACTAAATTACCATCTACCAGAAGCAAAGTAAATATGAAGCATTTATTCACCACTCTTCTTTGTGTCTTTTAGTTGATGATGGGGCTGCTGAAAAGGAAACCTTGCCAGAATTTGGAGAGGGAAAGGACACAGGAGGACTTGTACCTGGGAAATCTTTGGTTTTTGCAACACTAGAACTGTGTGTGTGCATTCTAGTTAGACAGCTCCCAGAACTAAATCCTAAACTGACGGGCAGCCCCAGAGTAAAAGGTACAAAGCCACAGATGCTGTCAGAGGATGGAAGCAGATTGGTTTCAGCTGCATTAGTTATCCTCTCTGAACTTCCCGCAGTGTGCTCTCCTGAAGGTATGCCGTGGTGTGTAGTTACTTTAGTTGGCCTGGGAGGAGAAAAATGGTTTTAATAGATAAAGGACATGGTTGCTAATCCTTTTCTCATTAAACCAAATCTGACCCAGAGCTTTGGGTAATGTTATTAATCCTCTAAGACTAACATTGCATTCTACTAATTTGTTTTACTAAAAGGGTGAAAGTAATTCAGAGACAGCATGTACTGCAGATATGTTTTTAGTGGTGGACAGTATTTTAAACCGATCAGTGGCAGTACTCACTCTTGGGCACTTTTTTAGTATAAAATATGTAATGGACTGTCCCTACCCCAACGATGACAGAGTTTGTCATCATATCCAGTTCCAGTTGGGATCAAGTCCATACTTTTACTATAGCTTTAAGGCTCTCCACAGGACTCTACCGAGTCACTCCCTCCTCTTCATCCTGCCGTGTGAATTTTAAACCTGCATCATACTCATCCCTGTTCTGTGCTGTTGTCCACAGTGTTATTTGATCTGAAGTGACCCTGTCTCTCTTCTGTGTAAAATTTTGCCTTCCTTCGAGGTTCAGCTCCAAGCCTGCCTCTTCTGTGAAGCTCCCCTGTATATACACAAATGTGTGTTGCTACTGTATGTAGATACATAGTTCTTACGTGTCATACAGTGGTATGAGATATAATTGATTATACAGAAAGCAGATACATATATATATACACAAACTTACATCTTATTTTCAATGAAATATTTTTATCCTCTAGGAAATCTAACATATAATAGGTACTCCATACTTAATACTTTTCATTTGGTAAACATATTTCTGCTTACACGTGTTGACCAATTTATGTGCTGTCTTTTTTTTTTTAATGTGACTCTAACTTCAATTTGAATTAAAACCTGTGTTTTTTGTTCTCACACATTGCTTTATACCAAGAGTGGCAGAAAAAGTGACTAGCAAGCAGAGGATTTTAGCTTCAGTCTCTTTCATTTTAAACACAACTAACATTTCAGCTTTTTGGTGGCTATGAAAACTTTAATATTTTGTACTGAGTGGATTGCTACAAATTTCTTGAAAGAAGTTTAATATAAAATGAATTCAAGTGGACAGTGCCGATGGTTTTGCAACGTTGTGAATGTGCTTATGCCACTAACTGTACACTTTAAAATGGTTAAGTTGGTAAGTTTTATATTGTGTATATTTACCACACTAAAAAGCAAATAAAAATAAATTCAACACTTGCCAACCACCGAGTAAAAAATAAGAGAGCAAAAGATAATGGTACTGTGATACAACGTAAACATTTTCAGCCCTTCCTGGTGCGGCCCAGTTGGTTAGGCACCATCCTGCCAAGCCCGCGGTCACCAGTTTGATTCCTAGAGGGTGCATGTCTAGGCTGTGGATTCGGTCCCCTCTGGGGGTGCAGCTGAGAGACAGCAAATCAGTGTTTCTCTCACACAAATGCTGCTCTCCCTCCTTATCTCCCTCCCTCTCTAAAAAGAAATAACTAATTAATTAAAAATTAAACAACATTTTCATTTATAACCAAAATATAATCCAGTACTTAAAATCTAAAGATTATTTACATTATCTTAACAGTTATAGTCCTTTATGAAAAATCATCTTAAAAGCTAGAAATCTGCCCTGGCTGGTGGAGTTCAGTGGCTTGAGCATTGACGGGCCCGTGAAGCAAAGGGTCACTGGTTTGATTCCCAGTCAAGGCACATGCCTGGGCTGCAGGCCAGGTTCCCAGTAGGGGGAGGATGAGAGGCAACCACACATTGATGTTTCTCTCCCACTCTTTCTCCTTCCCTTCCCCTCTCTCTATAAATAAATAAATAAAATACATTTTTTAAAAAGCTAGAAATCTTTGACATTGTCTTACTCATTAATGGTTTCTTTTTAGGAACTATATACATAGACTGAAATACTATTTTTAAAAATGTATCTTACAGGAAGCATCTCAATTCTCCCCACTGTACTGTACCTCACCATTGGGGTCCTCAGAGAAACTGCTGTGAAGTTGCCTGGGGGCCAGTTATCTTCAACAGCTGCAGCCTCCCTGCAGGCTCTGAAAGGAATATTGTCTTCTCCCATGGCCAGAGCAGAGAAGAGCCAGGCTGCTTGGACGGACCTTCTCCGTAGTGCTTTAACAACAGTTCTTGACTCTTGGGACCCAGGTAATGACAGCTCCTTGGAAGCTGCTGTTCAGTTTGCTTTAAAAAAGCAAGAGGGACAGTTTTTTTGAAAATAAGGTATTTACTTGATCATGATTTGTAATCTCACCTGAAAGAGACCATATTTACTACATACGTGGTTAGAGAATATAGTGGATAGAAACACTTGTGTTCTCATTTTAGTATCTTTAACCTTTAATACAAGTAGATGACTGGCAGCCTGTATAGTAAGTTGACAGTGAAAAAACCTCATATGTAATATTATATTAATTTAAAAACATAGTATGATCTATGACTAGCTGACAGAACTTTTTAATATGCATAATAGCCCTGACTGGTGTGGCTCAGTGGGTTGGGCACTGTCCCACAAACTGAAGGGTCACTGGTTTGATTCCCAGTCAGGGAACATGCCTGGGTTGCAGGCCAGTCCCCAGTAGGGGGTGTGCGATAGGCAACCACACATTGATGTTTCTTTCCCTCTTTCCTTCCCTTGCCCTCTTTCTAAAAATAAAATCCTTTTTGAAAAAAGAAAAGAAACCAAATCTGTGAAAGGCATAGGGGAAAGCAATTTGGGGCAAAATAGGTCACACTACAGTGTAGGCCCCAAAAAGCTGAGTGAACCTGAGGGGTCTAATGGGCCTGCCCATCAGAGTGTCCCACAGAGGACAGCAGTGGCCTGGCCTGTATCCTCAGATGCGGGCTGCCCGACAAAGGATGTGCTCTCAGTCCAGGCAGCTCTGGAGCTAAGGCCAACCTGCGTGAGCTGACAGCTGACCACACCCCCCACAGCAGGGCAGCACCTTCCCCAGCGAAGGGGATGTCCGCGATACACTCTGTATGCCACAAGAGGTTCTCAGCAGAATCAATTTCTTAGAGGATTAGAGAGCATTCTTCACTTGGACATCATAGATAGGGATTTTAGGCACAGAATTTTGATCAAATGCCTGGAGATCTAATTAGTAAGGTACATTCGGGGATACCAAATAGGGAAGTGAGAGAATGTGCGTTTGGAGGAAAAAGGAGGAGGCTGAATGATGATTAAATAGAAAAAGATGTGAGTCGGATGTGCTTAGGGCCAGATTATGGAGGATGTGTCTTGGTCTGTGATTTGGACTGCTTTTAATATTCCTGTGGAATTAGTAAAGGCTTTCGGGGGAGTAAAGTGATTTGCATTTCTAAAGAATCATTCTGGCAGCAGTATGGAAAAGAAAGCAAGATTGGTGGAGGTAAGATAGTAGCAGTAAGGATAGAGAGAATAATGAAAACTAAAATATTAATTGTACCAACAGAATTTACTGACAGTTGGTTTAGGAGTTGAAAGGGTGGAATGAGCGGAACATCCATAGTACTGTTGACAGAAATACCAAGGTGAGCACTTTCAGGGGGATACAGTGAGGTTAATTTTGAGAAGCCTGTAGGACAATCAAGTGGAACAGGATATGTAGAGGTCTGGAGTTCAGGAAGACAATCTGGAGTAGAGATGATTTTAGACTACATGTGTAGTTGTCAGTGCAACCTGTAGGATGGTTGAAATTACCCAGTTTAAGTTTACAGAGCAAGATGATTGAGAAGAGAATGCAGTCAGAGAAGCCAAAGTAAAGGGGTTTTAGTGGCAGGAATGATCAGCAGTGTAAAATGCAGTGTTGAGGTGCAGACAAGAGGTAAGGAAGGTACATAGTAAAACAGTACATGGTCAACAGTTACAATGATCACAGCAGTGTGCCCGCTTATGCATAACATCTCTTGTAGAGTTTTTTGGTGGAACATCAAATCACCCAGGTGACTCAGCTCACCTACAGCCCATATTTGGCGCCCAGCAACTTCTGGCTTTTCCTGAAACTAAAATCACCTTTGAAAGGGAAGAGATTTCAGACCATCGATGAGATTCAGGAAAATACCATAGGGCAGCTGGTGGCAATTCCAGCAAAGGATTTTGCAGAGTGTTTTGAACAATATAAGAGATTCTGATAAAATTGTATGAGGTCCTAAGGTGCCTACTTAGAAGGGAACTAAGGTGTCATCCTATGCACAATTTTTCTTATGTCTTATATGTTCTTCAGAAATGTCTGTGTTTTCCATATTACATGGCTGGACACCTTCTGCACAGACTGTGTGTGTGTGTGTGTGTGTGTGTGCACGCACCCCTTTTTTTCAACAGCAGCAATCCATTCTTATACAAATTAATGAGTTGAGTTTGTTTCTCCTTTTCAAATAATATTGATTTTCCACATCAGACCCACTAAAACTATATAATGAGAGTCTGACTTTGGAAAATGAGTGAATGAAGAATTATATCAAATCTTCAAATTATATTTGAAGGAAATAGAAAATTCCTTCAAATGATTGATGGTAAAGGGGACCAAAAGTTTTGCCTTTGGGGATATTGATTTTTAAGTTGGTTATTAAGAAACAAATTACCTGTAAATGGCTCATTCTTTTGAAATCTAAGATCCTATCCGCCCCCCTTTTCTTCTTTGTCCAAAATGTCATTTATACCCAGTTTTGCCTCAGTGCCTTTGGAATTTTCATGCTTAATGTGAATTCCCCATGAACATGTATTAAAATTTTATCTTCTCCTGTTAATTTCTCTGTTAGTTTGATTGTTAGCCCAGCTAGAAGAATTTACAAGGTGGGAGGAAAAGCATTACTTTTTAGTCCCCACAGTGGCCTATAAAGGTGTTTTCATGTTTTTCTCTGCTGTTAAGCAATGATATATGAAGCAGTGTGCTAAGTTATTTTCACACATGTACTATCAAAATATGAATACTTTGAAATTAACAAAGAAAAAATAATTGGCCCTGACTGGTGTGGCTCAGTGGATTGAGTGCTGACCTGCAAACCAAAGGATCATGGATTCCATTCCCAGTCGGCACATGCCTGGGTTGCAGGCCAGGTCCCCAGTTGGGGGCAGGAGAGAGGCAACCACACACTGATGTTTCTCTCCCTCTGTTTCTCCCTCCCTCCCCCTCTCTCTAAAAATAAATAAAATCTTTTAAGAAAGGAAAAATAATTGGCCAAGCATTTCTGTATTGCTCCACAATAGAAATAGTAATATGATGGCTAATACACATTGAGTATTTTATTCAACATGCTATTCTAATGCTTTACATGGATTAACTCATTTAACCTCATAAATGTAAGTTCTATTGTTACTCCCATTTTACAGATGAGGAAGCTGAAGACAGGGTTGAATGTCCAAGGTCACATAACTAACAAATTTATATATTCCTACTAAATTTGTATGTGTATTTACTGATATCTTTACCTGTAAAGATTGTAATTACTTTGGTAATTCTTGGCTGTAGAATTACTTATAATGCACATTTTTAAACCTACAACATTTGCCAGGAGTCTCAAAGTCAATTAGTGTTTTCTTTCTAAAACCATTATGTACACAAAAGAAATTGTTACCATCGAAGTAGAGATAGCTTCACACAGATAAATAAAACAGTGAATATGGCAGTATTAGGATCTGGCTCACATAGATCATTTTTCTCTGCAGGAGATGGAACACACCAAGAACTTGATGAAGTCAGTCTCCTTACTGCTATCACAGTATTTACCTTGTCTGCCAGTCCAGAAGTAACAATTATCCCATGTCTTCAGAAGCGCTGTATGGAGAAATTTAAGGTTACTCTTGAGATTAAAGATCCTATGGTAAGCGTCCTTAGCAGAGAGATGTTTGTAATATCAGTCTGTTTATGCTTTTGCAAAAACTTCTGTGATTTTATTTTTACGTTTTTTTATTTTATTTTTAGAACAGAGAAAAACTTTTCTCTGTTCTTGGGGTGACAGAGCCAAATAATAATGCCCTAATTGGCCCTGAAGATAGAGCACAGTTGGGGAAAGATAAAGGAAATGTTTTAAAATAAATAAATAAAGTTGAAATAGGGGTATCTTAAAATTGCTATATCTCTAGAATTTTTTAAGGGGCATTTAATAAGATACATTGGAGCTTCTTATAGTGGATTTCCCTTTTAAAAAATTATTTTCAAGAAGAAACAAAGACTCCAGCTCTGGCTGCGTGGCTCAGTAGGTTGGAGCATTATCCCTTACACCAAACAGGTTGCAGGTTCCATCCCTGGGCTGTGGCTTCAGTCCCTAGTTGGGGTGCATATGGGAGGCAACTGATCCGTGTTTCTCTCTCTCTAAAATCAATAAACATAATTCTGGTGAGGAAAGGAAGGGAGGAAAGGAAAGGAAAAGAAGACTTTAGTATATGATTGTGAAATAATAGGACCCATTCCAAAAACAGTACATAAAAGTTGATCCTGTCACTTTGTGGTCCCTTCATTTACTGAATTAACTTCCTATTCCTTTATGTGCTACAAAGTGAGTTTGTACCATATGATCACAAATATTTTGACTCCACAAATGTAGGAACCAGGTTTTTCAAAAAATTAATCATCCAGATCCATTCCAAGGTATTGAATAAAGGTTGATATATACAGTAAGTCTTCACTTAACATTGATGTAAGTTGTGTGACTTGAAGCAAAACAACATATAAAGAAAGCAGTTGATAAAATTGGTATTAAACAGTAGTTCCTAAGGTATCTGTCAGCATGAAAACAAGCAACGTCATTTCAGGACCCGCTGTATTTGATGATAGTCCTCTCCTTTTCTTCTCTTCTATTTGTTGCCTATGGCAGTGCCAGAGCTTTATGCAGCAGTCTCAAAGTGATGACTTTCCTGTCATAATTATCAAAATGATGACATCATGGTTCGGGTACACTAATTAATGTGTCTTAAAACCATGACATTTGAATTTTAAATTCAAGCCACTTTTATCTAAAACATTTTCTGAATCTCCTAAATGTTTTTCAAGTTTGTGTGTATGTTTCGGTTTAATTTTGGTATTAGATTATAAAAGGGCACATGAGGGGGAAAATGGAAACTAGAGAAAAGAAGAAAAATTAACCATACAACAAGGAAGGCAAGCTCTCCTATTCTGGTGTCCCCACATACTTCTGCTCCCAATCCAAAGTGTCACGGCTACTGCTGTTATTAGCATGCAAGTGTGAACACCTGTTACCACTTGGAATTCCACAATTAAAGATACATTAGAAATAAATTTAAATGTCTTTTTAGGGGTCTTTTTAATTTACATGTTAAAATTTACATTAATGTAAATATTTACAGTTAATGCTCTTTTTGTCTCTTACCTGATTTAGGTACAAATCAAGACCTATCAGCTCCTACTTTCCATTTTCCAGTGTCCGAATCCAGCTGTTTCCTACCCTTACATTTACTCCTTGGTATCCTCTATTGTGGACAAACTACAGGAAATAGACACGAAAAAGCCTGAAGACACTACTGAGCTTCAGATCCTTCAAGAAGGCATCAAGGTCTTGGAAGCACTAGTAACTGTTGCCGAAGAACAGCATCGTAAGTGTCAGCCAGAATTCATGCTATATCAGAATCTACCCCAAATCAGAAATGTAGTGTTATTTAAAATGTGAAACATTCAGGGGGGCGTGTGGGTAGGGATGGGAAAAGGCAAAAGGAGGGTAAATGGTAATGAGGAAAATACAATAAAAATAAACTATTAAAAGAATTGTTGTGTTTTGGGGAGGGTGGAGGGGTTATGGTCCAATAAATTTCTTAAAAATTAAAGTTAAACAGGTGAATGAATTCCTGGAAAAAAGTAAAACATTCAGATATTTGTTAAATGAATAAATTTTTAAAATGTAAGAGTCAGTGTATTTTCATATTCATTTAAAGGCAGTATTATGTTAACGTGAAGTAGTGTTAATTTGGGAGAAGAGAAGGGAAGAACTGTTTTCCCCTTAAGTGGGGGGAAATGTGTGCAGATGAAATGTGTTTACAACTTTGCGAAATGAACATTTATAGCACCTAGGGCTTACCTCCTGTGTTTACTTCCCAGGCTCTCAGCTGGTGGCCTGCCTTCTACCCATCCTCATTTCCTTCCTTTTGGATGAGAATGCTCTGGGATCAGCGACTTCCATAATGAGGAATTTACATGACTTTGCTTTGCAAAATCTCATGCAGATTGGGCCTCAGTATTCAACCGTGTTTAAAAGCGTAATGGCTTCTTCTCCGGCCCTGAAGGCGCGCCTTGAGGCTGCCATAAAGGGCAACCGGGAAAGTGTCCCAGTCCGGATACCAACATCTAAACATACCAAGCACCCTGGAAAGAATTTAAGCATCCAATTAAAGACCAGTTTTCTCTGATGTTACTTTTTTCACTAATAAGCACCTTAATATAGTACTTGATTATTTCCTTCTCTTTGGGGACAAAAGTGACATTTTAGACACAAGTGCACTTGGAGGTCTGGTTGATTATTTTCATTTAAATAGCTGTGACTTTTCAAAGTAACAGCAGGCTTACCATTTTTTGTGTTGTGTGTGTGTGTGTTTGTTTTTTTCCCATTTAATAAAACTACAGAGGTCTGTCGGTATTCTTGCCAGGAATTTCAAGAAAAGTGCTGAAGACCTGACCTTACTAAACAATCCACTGCTTTAAAAATGAGGAACTGAATCAGATTCCTGCCTGACAATCCACATATACATTGTATAGTTAACGCTGTGACCAACAGATTTGAGTGTATTGTAAATTATCTGCATTAATATTGTATCCCAATTGCTGACTTAAAGTTCTGCCTTATTCAGCAATTGCCTTGAACTTTGTCGGGATTTCTCAACAATGTTAAATGATTGGAAAGCTGTTTAGGAAACTTGGTTTAGAATTACTCAAAACATAATAGTAGAAATGAATTACAACCCTATAGTATTACTTAAGATTTGGTATCTATAAATATCATGGGTTTTCACTACCTATCGGTTTTGTTTGTATTAGGTTAAGAAAATAGAGATTTTGCCCATTTTAAATAGAATAAGTCATCTTCAGTTTTTCAAGTGGATTTTCTGTTACCTTTATTCCTAATAATTTTGTTCATTTCATTTTTGGAAACATACCAATGACTTTAATATAGATACATATCTATATTTAAATTAACTATGGGTTTATATAAATGTCAAATTTAGTACAACAAATTTAGATAAATGAATAAAAGTATGTTTTTTTAACATGGAACATATTTTAATATAGAAAAAAATCTAAAGATGAAGTCATTGGTTGAAAAGCGTTTTTTAACCCTTGGTGACTATCAACTCCCTTTGCACTTCAGTGTTATTCTCTGAATCAAGCACTATGTCAAAACAAAGCATCTCCCTGTTAAATATTAAAAACTGAAGTTATAGGGGTGTGTTCGGAATAGAGAAAATACTTTGAGTCAGGCAAGAGCAATGTGATGTACTTTATTTTATTATGTTTGTATATAAATACTCTTGTAAATTGTTCTGAATGAAAACATTTGACAAATTCTAACACTACAGTTTTTCTAATTTACATAAATAAAGCTAATTTTCTTAATTCTTGCATTCGAAATTATTTACTCACAAAGATAGCTGGTTAATTTCACAGGTTGCAGAAAATCAATTTATGCAACTTGGCCATTTTTCTCAGAGGAGCCCTTTCTTTGGAGCATTTTTTTTCTTTTTTTTTAAATCAAGATTAAAGCATGCAAATTTATTTAACATTTTTATTTGTACACAGAAGTCTTCATAAGAAAAAGACCCAGATTCAGATATAAAAGACATTTAAAAAAAGGAAATTAAAAAACAAACAAACTACAACTCATCCCCTCCCAATGTGGCTCAATTGCTTGGGGCACTGGAGCATTCTTTGCAATGGTTTGGATTGTCTGTCTCTGTAATTGTCTCCAGGAATTTGAGAGTATACTTCTCACTGTTTCCTTCACCTGAGTGCCCTTTCCTCCTTTGTTCTATCCGGCAGGCTCCACTCTAAGTCCTGGTCTAAATGCTACCATGTCTCTTCCCATTGGTAACTAACTCTCTTTTAACTTCTTTCCCTCCTCTTACAACAAGCAGATTAAACTGCTTCCTCATCTGTGTTCCTGTAATGCTATATACATTATTCTGTGCCTGGAATTTCAAGTTGAATTTTACTCTCTCCTTAGACTGTGCATCCTCACAGGGAGTTTGTCTTCAAATAACTACTCTGTAGCATCAACTAGGTATCTAATAACTTGAATTGCAATAATGTAGAATGGATTTGAGCTCAGAAATTTACTCCTCTGCCAAGGAAAATGCTCGGTTGTTCTCAGGATATAACTTACTAATTTGATTTTGGGGTTCTTTTATATTGATTTATATATTAAATTGTATCATCTAGTTTTTCCAGTTACAATCAAGACAACCGGCCCAAAACGGAGTTGCTCATGCTAAGTCCAATGTCACTGTGCTGAAACTTAATTACAGTTTCAGCCTCTCTCCAAAATGGGATCTTCAACCAATCAGGAATTGCCTAATCAGCACTAGTCAGTAACTGGCCTGATACTCCTGCCATCTCTCCTAAACAAAAGTGATTGTCCGCAGCCCTCTGCTTTTTGCTTGTGCAACTTTCTTGTTCCCACTTCCTTCTGCCTATGAAAGCCTTTCATTTTGTGTAGTTCCTTTCTATCTGCCAGATTAAGATTTCTACTCATTTAGCCCTGTCTGGTGTGGCTCAGCAGATTGAGCACAGGCCTCTAAACCAAAGGGTCACTGGTTTGATTCCCCCAGTCAGGGCAAATGCCTGGGTTGCGGCCTGGGAACCCAGCTGGGGGCATGGGAAAGGCAACCAATAATCTCTTGCACATCAATAGTTCCCTCTTTCCCTCTTAAAATGAATTTTTAAAAATCTTTAAAAAAAAGATTTTGGCTCATTTAGTGATACGGTGTCCAGAATTGTTTCGGTTAAAGTTGCTATTACATGATAATAAAGTCAATAGTTACCGAACAAAATATGCCCAATGTCACAGAATGAGAAACTCTGAGTTAGGCTCTATCCTAAAGCTTTTTTGTTTAAAAAAAATCAATACAGTGTGTTTAATAGACACTGAATTGGTGAATACGATTTTACTGATAAAATTAAGGCTTGACAGCTGAGATTTGAATCCGAGGTCCACACTGAAGGCAGAAAAAGTGCTGCGGTGGTCCAGATTCTATCAAGGTCCAGCTTTCCTCTTCCAATGCGCACCATCAACTTACAGGGAACACTTAAAGAGATGCCAGTACATGACATAAAGGGTATAAACCCAGTGCTATGGGAGCCCAGGGAAGAATACTGGAGCTTCAGAAATGGACTTTATGGAAGGAATATCATGAGATACTGGCTTGGAGAATAGTACTTGATGGAATAAATGCATATTAAGTGCACAACCCAAGAGTCTTCTGTAACATTGATTTTGAAGTTCTCCTTATACCATATCTAAAGCATTTCCTATTTTTTTATTATATTAATTTGTATTATGAGAGAAGAAATTCAACCCCCAAACTAATAAACCATGATAATGTTAATAGAGAACTGACAATATATGAAATAAATTTTATATTTAAAAAACGGAACCTGCCCTGGCTGGGAAAGCTCAGTTGGAGCACCATCCTGTGTACCAGAAAAGTTGCCAGTTCCATCCCCTGCCCAGGAGCATATGGGAGGCAACTGTTTCTCCCTGCTTCTCTCTAAAAAATAACGTATCCTCAGGTGAGGATTAAAATAAATAAAAAGGCAACAGTCCTAAAGTTTCAACAGCCTCCTTATGTAACTTTCCAAGGACTAACATTTATAACTATAGGGTTAATGTAGTGACATATATTGTATTTTCTCCATCAATTGAATGCACTTTCCTCATTACAAATAACTTCTCAACCTGAGCAAGACCTCGGTTTATTCAGGGAAGTTTGAGCTCCATGTTTGATAGCAATATAGTTGTTCAATTGCCAACTGTCGGTGATCAGCTGTGAGTTCAATTGCCAGTTAACGAGTTATGCCTGTCTGACTTCTTTTTACCCATCTATTTAAATGGTACTTGGGCTTTTAGCTTGGAGAAAATGGGAAATTTTGTGTTGTGATATAGAGATGAAATATATCCAGTACAAACCATAAATACGATCCCAGTTTCTATAAATTCAAAGTAGTTGGCTTCCTTTAATCATATTTCTGGCTTTTTAGGACTCTTGCACTATTCTATTTGGAGCATTATAAAATGATTATATAGACCAGGGAAACATTCTCTTTACTTGATGGGCACATACCATTTTCTAAATAGACAATGCATTCTTTTTTAAACGTATTTTTTAAAGAACTATATATAAATCCTCACCTTGTTACAGAACCCCACTTATGCTGTTCTACAGCAGCTGTGGGGTTCAATTGCTCATCACCAAGAAGCGTTACTCCCAGTGCAAGAGTTTGATGAAAAAGGAAAGGGTTGCTTGTTTACAAATTATACAGACTTAGAATGGTGGAGTTGTGCCATTAAGTCCCACACCCTTTGAAACACCCCAAAACGCATAATCCTGCCCTCTTTGCCAACTTAGGCCAGTTTCAGAATCCACCAGTCAGGGGTACTGTCTTTCAGAGAAGCAGAAGCCTGCAGCTCAGCATACCTGGTCACAATTCAGCATCCCAGGCATCTCCCATTCATCTGTGCTTGGTTAGGCAGGTCCCTGCAATTCCCAGCTCCATCAGCTCTTCTGCCATGTTCTCCAGGCAGGTGTCCCAGTGGTTTTCCTTTTTCTTTCTTCAGTTTTTTAATTCAAAATAACATGGCATCACCTTACTTCGAACACAATGACACCTCTTTATACACCAGACTTTATGGGCAAATTTCCCTACAAATACCTCCTTCCTTATGGCTAACAGGGCGGCCCTTCTACACTGCATGGCTGCCAACTCTCTTTTTTTAAAAGATTTTGTTTATTTTATTTCTAGACAGAGGGGAAGGGAGGGAGAAAGAGAGGGAGAGAAGCACCAATGTGTGGTTGCCTCTAGCATGCCCCATACTGGGTGGGTACCTGGCTCTCAACCCAGGCATGTGCCCTGACTAAGAATCGACTGGTGACCCTTTGGTTCACAGACTGGCACTCAATCC